GTTTTAATTGCTGTAAAATGGATGAAAATGTTATAAAACAGCACAAATTGGTTTCGATTTGTAACACTTAAGTAACAAAAAAAAGAGATTCCATTACAGTGTTGCCAGATCAAGAACATAAAATTCACCAGATCCGAGTTGAAAAATTCCACAAATTTTCACCAGATTACGATTTGTAAGGCAAAAAACGCAATTTTCAGCTTAAAAATCCGCTTAAACTCCTGAAAAAAAGTAAAAATGACATGCATTTCAGCTTAAATCTGTGATTTGTCGGGTTGGTTCCAACAAAATTTTGCGAAATAATTGCGTTTCTAACTCAAGAACGTGATAAAATGCTCGAAAAACAAAAAAATAATGTAAATATAGACTTAACTTCTTGATATTTTAGTTTGTTTTAGCGAGGTCTAATAAAAAAACTTGAGATTTTAGTCCAAAAACTCGCTTAAATGTAAAATTTTGTGGTTTCTCAGCTTATTTTTGTCTTAATTTTGTTCAAAAACCAGTTAAAAAAAATAACATCAATATCAATCCTTTTTGTCATATTTAGGCGTGTTTGGAAAAGATTTTGCAAAATAAATAAACCTTTGGTTTAAAAACAAAGTCGGGCAAAACAAGCTAAAAAATTATATCAATCTCGATTTAATTTTGTATTTTTTTAGCCTGTTTCAACACAATTTTTCGAACTTTTTGTGTTTTTATCTCTCAAAAACATGCTTAAACACTCAAATTTGTAGCTTGTTTTTAACAAAATTATGCAAAGTAATTGTGTTTCTGTATGAAAAATTATTCGAAAAAGACAAGAATAAATTGTTATTTTTGATTCTGTTAACCAATTTGGTATTTTTTCGACTTTTTCGAAAAAAATTGACGAAATAATCAAGTTTCTGGTTGAAAACGTGAAAAATGCTCGAAAAACAATTTTTTTCATTTTCAAAAAATCACCTAGATTTTTTAGTTTGTTTTAGCGAGGTCTAAAAAAAAACTTGGGATCTTAGTCCAAAAACTCGCTTAAAAGTAAAATTTTCTGTTTTCTCAGCTTATTTTTGTGTTAATTTTGTTCAAAAACCAGTTAAATAACATCAATATCAATACTTTTTGTCATTTTTAGGCTTATTTGGACAAAATAAATAAACCTCTGGTTTAAAAACAAAGTCGGGCAAAACAAGCTAAAAAATTTCYATTTAATTTTGTAATTTTTTTAGCCTGTTTCACCGCAATATTTTGAACTTTTTGTGTTTTTATTTCTCAAAAACATGCTTAAACACTCGAAATTTATGGCTTGTTTTTTAATAAAATTGTGCAAAATAATTATGTTTCTATCTGAAAAATTATTCGAAAAAGACAAGAAAAAATTGTCATTTTCAATTCCGTTAACCAATTTGGTGATTTTTCGACATTTTTGAAAAAAAAACTGGTTGAAAACGTGAGAAATGCTCGAAAAACAATTTTTTTTTCATTTTCAAAAAATCACCCAGATACTAGAATTTTAACCAAATCACCACTAACTAACAAGAAAATCACCAGATCTGGTGAACTTTCACCAAATCTGGCAACACTGCTCCGTTATGCATGAAATAAATTATTTAATCAGTGATGGCTAACACATGAAATGTAACACAAAACGTATTATGAGTCACTAAAACTATTTTGAGTGCAAATCTACTATTTGAAACGCCACATTTCATCGCTTCCACACTTACCTTTCTGGAAGTCCACAACGTCGGAATATTCCGACCAGCCATAGYCATTTGCCGACCTCATTTTCGTCTCATAATCCCCAGGATCGAGACTCTTCTCGAAAGTGTATTTGACGGAATAATGTTCGTCCCCCATTGGGGCCACTTCTGGATAAATCTTCTTCCAGTGGGACTCCTACAACCATTGAAATCACACAATGACGTAACAATATCCACTTAAAGTCTGTTTTTTTTTTTAATGGAAATTACCAAGTCAAAATTTTGGTGAAAAAATTGGTAGCAGCTTGTCTCCATAGCCACAAATTTTGTTTGCTCTTTGTTTTTGTCCCTAGAAATTTTATTAAAAATTATGGTTGTGTTCAAATTGAGATGTAAAATTTTTTTGTTAATTGAATACCTGAGGACAGACATCATTACCTAAGGTCTAAAGACCGAATTCGGTGCTAATAATTTTGACAGAAACACACGGCAAGTAAGTACAATGTTGTAGACAAAAATGAGATTCTTGCTACAAAAACTTTGAAGAAAAAGGATGCATATACAGAAAAAAGTTATTTAGCAAAATATACAAGTAGGTATTATGATGATTGGCAATAAATTTTGTGTAATTTATTGAAATGAGCTCAAAGTTGATGCATTTTATAAATTCTTCTTCAGCTTT